CAGGCCTTTCTTCTGTGATGCTGTTGAGTACCTACCTTTTGGTTGGTGGTTGAGTGCAAACTGGTTATGTCTCCCAGGGACCTTTTTATACTATCAAAGAAATTAAATCCGTAATTAAAAATATTCCTCCATGGAAAACTTCAGGCCTAGGTAGCTTCAGTGCTTTCTTCCAAGTCTTTAAGGAAGAAATAACGGTGATCTTATACAAATGTTTCAAGAGAATAGAACAAAGAGGTAACACTTCCCAGTTCATATTATAAAGTCAGCATAACTTATATACCAAAACCTGACAAGGACTTTGCAAGAAAGGAGATTTTCTGTCAGTCTCTGTCATGCGCATAGGCAGTTAAAATTCTAAACAAAATATTACCAAGTTGAATCCAGCCATACATAAAAAAGATAATACAGCACAAATAAATTTAGTTTCATCTGGAATGCAAGGTAGGTTTAACACTCAAAAATCGATCATTGTTGTTCACATTAATAGAAAAATGGAGAAAAACCATATGCCCATCTCAGGAGAAAATTTATTAAAATTTAATACCATTCTTAATTAAGAACTCTTAATAAGCTATGGATAGATGGAAATTTCCTTAGTATGATAAAGAATATCTATAAAAAACCTATAGCAAAAACTATATTAGATGATGAAATATTGAAAACTCCCTTTGAGATCTAGAATTAGAGAAGGATGTCTGCAGTCAGCACTTTTATTTGACATTGTATTGGAACCCTGTCACTGAAGTCATAAAAGAGATACAGTTTGGAGAGAAAGAAAGAAAGCTGTCATTGTTCACAGATGGCATGATTGTTTACATAGAAAATTCAGAAGAATCTAAACTGTTGGAATTAATAATTCTGAATCTCAAAATATAGCCAGAAAATATAAAGTCAGTGTTCAGAAATCGGTTGTATTTCTGTATACTTGGCACAGATATTTAGAAAATAAAAAGATAATATTTATGTTAGCATTTAAAAGTATTAACTACCTGAGGTTAAACAAAAGAGGAACTCTACATAGAAAGCTATAAAAAAAAATTGGAGAAAACAAGATAGAAGTAAATGGAGGGATATGTGTGTGTGTGTGTATAAATGAAGAGAAGACTATTGTAAAGAAGTCAGTTTTCCCCCAAATTGATCTACAGATTTAATGTAATCCCAGTCTAAACCCTAGGGTACTTTTTTTTTTTTAAGTAGAAAAAGATAAAGCTGATTCGAAAGTATAAATGGAAATCCAAAATGGCCAATAGTACTAAGGTTAATCTTGAAGAAAAAGATCAGAGGATTTATACTTTCAAACACCAAGACTAAACCTATAGTAATTGAAAGTGTGGTATTGGCACAAGAATAGACAGACTCATGGAACAGAATTCAGTGTAGGAAGGATGTGTCTTTTCAATAAATAGTGCTGGATCAATTGATATCTGTATGAAATAATAGCCTTTCCTGTGCACAAAAATCAATTCCAGATCGATCTGAGACATAAATTGATAAAACTATCAGTTGGACAAAAGGGAATAAGATGAATTTTTAAAAGTGGAAAAGAAGTAAGAAAAATTAAGAGTAGATACTAATACAATAGAAAATAAAGCTTTATATAATCCTTTTGCTAAATTTGCTACTACAGGAGACAGAAAAGATATATGATTCCATTTACACTTAGTTCAAAAATGAGAAAACTAATCAATAATGATAGAAGTTTATATAGTAGTAACCGGGGGCTGGGAACTGGGAATGGATGATGACTGACTGGCTGACTTGGGAGAGTGCATGAGGGAGGCTCCTGCGGTGCTGTTAATGCTCCGTATCAGCGGTTCTCAAAAGTGTGGTCTGTGGACCCTTGGGTAACCGAGACCCTTTTAGGGAATCCATTAGGTCAAAACTATTTTCACAGTAATAGGAAGATTTTGTTTGCTTTTTTCCTTATATTTGCATTTGTACTGATGCTGCAAAAACAGTAAGTGTGTTAAACTGCTAGCACCTTAGCACAAATCAAGGCAATGACACCCAACTAGTAGTCACTATATTCTTTACTACCGCACACCCTCAGTTTAAAAAACAAAAACTAGTTTTACTTAAGAATGTCCTTGGTGAAGCAGGGAAAGTAGTTTTATTAAATTGTGACCCTTGCGTACACACCTTTCTAATATTCTGTGTATTCAAATGTTTGTCTTAAAAAAAAACAAAAAACAAACCCATTGCTGTTGAGTTGATTCCGACTCATAGCGACCCTATAGGACAGCATAGAACTGCCCCATAGGGTTTCCAGGGAGCACATGGTGGATTTGAACTGCTGATGTTTTGGTTAGCAGCCAAACTCTTAACCACTACACCACCGGGATTTCCAGCGTTTGTTTTAGTATATAGTATATAGTGTACCTTTCTATGTATAAAAAACATTAAAGAAACACTTTCAGATACGCTAAAAGAGCTTTAACGTAATAATATGGTAATAATAATAATGTTTTGATGCGCATCACAGAGTAGCACCCATTTGTTACTATGAACCATTTTTAATATACTACCATCTTGAATTTTTAATATAATAGTTGTTATGGGGGTTGGTTCAGAACTACGGGTTGCATGTAAGTTGGGCATTCGTAACCCGCGGACTGCCTGTATGTTTGCATACAGCGTTTCTACTATACGGCCAAAGCACAGTTCTTGCCTCAAGAAAAAGCGTTTGTGTGATTGAGTTGGGAGCTAAACTAGCAGCTTTGTTCACGATCACTGATTTTAGCTGAAAGAACAACTGTCAGTAGTTACTCAGATTTGCGTATTTGACAGATATTTTCTTGGAAGTGGAACAAAGTGAGCTTGTCACTTTAAGAAAAAGAATTGACAGTATCTCTCACCAGTGATAAAATTTGAGCTTTTTGAGCAAAAATTAGAACTTTGGAAAACGTGTATTCACCACAGTGACTGTTTGCTTCCCGCTTTTTAAAGACTTTTCTAATGAGATCTGTGGTGATTTTAACAGGTGTGATTTTTTTAATTTGTATAATGAACTATGTCAGAATTTAGAAGATCTGCACAACTCAGTAAACCAATGTTTTCTAAACGACCAATACATAATGTTAAAAATCAGATTTTACATTGCAGCTAATCTTTAAGAAATGACCAGTTGACATGTTTTGGTGTAGTACCAAGAAGACTGTCCATAATTATCTAAAAAGTCAATTAAAATATTCCTTCCTTTTCCAAATATTTATTTATGTGGTGTTGGGTTTTCTTCATATACTTCTACCCAAATAACATATTGTAACAGATTGAATGCAGAAGCAGATACGAGAATCCAACTGTTTTCTATTAAGCCACATGGAGATTTTCAAAAATATAAAACAATGCTACTCTTCTCATTTTAATTATTATTTATTTATTGAAGAAATTTTTTATGTTAACATGTTAATTGGGTTTGTTATTGTATTTTTAAATGAGTTAATAAAATTCTTCAGTTTTAATTTCTGATATGCTAACTATTGATAGGCATATCAACATAAACAAAAGTTACTTGTCTCCTCAATTTTTAAGACTGTAAAAGGGATTCTGAGACCAAAGTTTGAGAGCTGCTGTTTTATACTTTGATCTAGGTGGTGATTACATGCATACTTTGTAATAAATAAAATAATAATTTCTGTACTTTATTCTCTCTGTGTATTTTAATAAAACTGTTTATCTGTCTCAAAGTAAGAGGAGTTGTCTAGGATTATGAGGAGTATTTCTTGCTTCAGTGACAGGAGAGAATGAGTAGCCAAGAAAATGACCATGAATGCTTGCAGTTTGTTGATACTGTATTGCTTTAGAATTTTAAAATTATTCCTAGAAATCCATAAAATGATTTTTATGAAATTTTCATTGGAAATATGTATCAGAAAAATCTTTGCCAGGTTTTTTTTATTGTCTCATTTTTTAATACTCTTTTCCCTTATGTACTTCCTAGATGCATAGTTGTTCTATCTGATGTGAATGTGAGACAGGTTGATTTTGTCTTAAATATAAGTTCATATATGCCTAATTTTCTGCCATATTCTGCCTCCTGGGAAAAGCATTGAACATGATCTCATTTTCAGCACAGAGAGAGGGATGTAATAGCTCAATTGCTTACAAAATTGAGCAAATATTTATTAATTATATACTGAGCAGAAAGCGTTGTGCGGTTTGTGGTTACTTACTGGGCACTCAAGAAGCTAACTGTCTAGTAAGGGATAAAAATTTGCTAGAAATTAGCTAGACCATAAAGCCAAATGCTCTCATGTGGTAGAAGTACAGAAAGGAAGTTAGTAGTAGCATCTGAACGGAACTTTGAAGGATAGGCTAGTTTGTTCTTTTAAAATTCCTTTTTTTTTCCCCCTTTCTAATTACAAAATAATGATGCTTATTGTAAACAGATTCAAGCATTGTAAAAATATACACTATCGGTGAAAATCCCTGCTAGTTAGTCATTTTTACACTTTGGTATATGTAAAACATATATTCACATACATGATTTTGCGAATGTATTAGACAGTTGGATTTCCAGTTTTCAATATTCTAAACCCTGTGATGCCTCTGGGTTTCAAAAAAAACCTAGTTTATTTTTTTGTTTGTATCCTTTTTTTTTTTTTGAAGCCTAAGATTTTAATAGAATAGTATACCAGTTTTGCTTAAAGATTGAGCAAAAACAAATCTATGCATGTAGAAATATTTAACAGAGTAAAAATCTCCTGTAATCCCAACTCAATTAGGTGTTGATAAACTAATTATACCTGATAGTAAATTGAATTTATGTATCTCTGGACAGGGTATGTCCTTTAGTTTGAGAGTTGAGAAAGTTATTTCAAAGTAAATGTGGTGTTAGAGATTGGGGCATGAAATTAGGGTAAACATCATAGGAAAGACCACAAACATTTTTGTCTTCCTGCCATATGTCAGCTCAGTTGTATTTTTGTAGAGTTGCTTAGAAGTACTTGTTATAGTTGATACTACTTATTCAAAAAAATTTTTTTTTGTTTTCATTCTAGGTAACGTTATACAACACTGATCAGGATGGTAGTGATAGCCCACGCAGTAGCCTTAACAACAGTCTCTCAGACCAGAGTTTGGCATCTGTTAATTTGAACAGTGTTGGAAGTGTGCATGGTTATACACCGGTAAGTCTTGGTGAAGTTAGCTTCATTGTTGAGTACTCAGGTTGTGCTTAAAACTAAACCAAATGTAATTGAAGTGTGAATAAAAGGTGAAGATGTATATTTCTCACTTAAGCAGTTCTTTCATTAACTTAGATAAATATATTCAGGCTTAAGTAGAACAGATTCTACCTTGGTAGTGTTTTGAGTACTTACATTTTACCAAGTTAGATACAAATATGTTTTATATGTTTTTGTCTGTTTTACTCCATCTATTCCATGTTCAAGAGAGATGTAACTGGAATAGAAAAAAAAAATTGTACTTCAGTTTAGCAGAGCTACATTTTATGATTTTCTATAGTTCTTGGAAAAAAGAGCTTAGAGGAGGTATATATCAACTTATTTTCTAGCTGATATTGCCGAGAAAGGGATTCTGCAAACTCCAAAGGTTAGGATAGACTGGTATCCAGTTGTTAACTAGTGTTATATTTTCAATTTTGGCCCGGAAAACAAAGGTATGCTATCTGTAAAGGGACCTGTGTGTGAGTATTCTTGCCACTGTGCTGATTTTGTTACCTGATTACAAGAACATAATCCTTGGGTTTTCTGGACTTCTTTTGAAGCCATCTGGCAACTAATCCTCCTCCCCAAGAGCCATACACACACATCTTTTGCTGGTATAAATTTGATCTCATCTGATCACTTCCTGTTCCAGGTAGAGTATATAGGAAAAAACTTACACAAGACAAAGATACAAAGAGAGGGACCTGAAATAAAATAACACAAGGAGAACAAAAACTCAGAAAGCAGAATTAAAATTTACATTGAATGCAGAAAAAAAGAAAGTTGACTCTGCAAAACTGGTATCAGTGCTCTGGGGGAAAAAAAATTATTCCCTCAGAGTACAGAAGAAATAGACAAATAAAAAATCATGTAAAAGAAGACGATAGACATGGAGGATTGAGAATTATAGGTGTTCCTGCAGAAGAAACCACAATACTTGGTAGAGAAGCAGTTTTTGGACGAAATGTAGATTAAAAGGGTTACAGAGTTTAGGAAAAATTAGTGAAAAAACCCTTCATCTAGACATATCATGGCAAATTTTAAAATTGCAGAGATAATCATCCGTATAAATACCCTGGCTGTGGAAATAAGTTACATTCAAAGAAACACGAATCTGACTTCTTTTCCATAATACTAAATGCCAGAAGATAATGGAGCTGCAGTTATGCGGAGTTTTAAGGAAATAGATTTGGAATTAAAATCTTAATGCTCAGCCAAATTTTTATTCATATGTGAAAGCCAGAGAAAAACATTCTTTGATATACAAATCTTAGAAAGCACCCTACCCTTATTTTCATGGAACCTTCCTGGAAAAGATTACTTAGCTGATCAAGAGATGAATCAAATTAAAGTACTCAGTAATGACAAAATCATGCCATAAAAGGACTAGTTGGAGTGTTGAAGCAAACTAACAAAGATTTAATGGTTCTAAGTTGTTTTTAAAATAATTTAAATGGAAAAATCTTAACTAAAGGAAACCAAAGAACACAGGAACTCAAGGAACAGATTTCAGTGTCACAAAATATAATGAAAGGAAAGAGTGAAGAAGCATTTACAGAACTAGGTGACAGAGTAAAAATAAACATGTCATTATGCCCAATAAATGTCAGAGGGCTGAATTCCTCTATTAAAAGCTGGAGATATTGTAGACTGCTGTTTTTTCTTAAGATATCAAGCAGTCCTTGAGCAATAGCATGGTGGCAGCTGCTGGTTGAGCTTGTCACACTTCCATAGATTCGTTCGGCCTGTAAGGACATACTGAGCCCAAATGGATTGAGACAGTTTTACTTACACAGACAGCATAAGTCACATCAGCATAATGTCAGCTACCTGCTTCCCACAGGAAGACACCAAATCACAGGGGCCAGATGACAGGCTTCATGAGCGGTGGGTCACTCTGTAGTGTAGGAACAAAATTCCATCCTGCATCTAAACAGTTTTATAATCTGCACGTGTACCCTGAGGGGAGAGGTAGAAAGTCCCATGCCTCACTAGAACCAGGGAGGCAATATCTTTCCCCCACAGAACACTAGGCAGCCTCCTGCAAGATAGGAAGATGGATGAGAAATAGCAGAAGGTGAGAATTTGCTCCTCATAAGATTTCCTGTCGTCCCACACTCCGGAATAATCCAGGGTATTCTGCCAAGGCCTGGGTCAGCCTGCTATTGAGCCTTGTCTCTGTGGCCTAGGTGGAGAAGTGTAAGGTCGCCAGGGTCCCTATAAAAATCTGTATTTTTCCACGTTATTGCGGATTACTTTGTGAGCGTCATTTTGAATGGCTATATAAATTTCCAGTGTGTGTTCATACCTTAATTGTTCAAAGCACTGAACATATAATTTTAAGAAATACAACTGATCCTTTTATTCATTTTATTTTTAGTCATACTGCCTTCAAAGGTAATTTTTATTTTTTAGGTGTTTATAGTGCCTTTTTTAGCCCCCTGCATAGCTGAAGGCCCTGGTTTATTCTACTTTTTCAGAATTTCCTTTGTTTTTCACCTCCTAATTTCTCATTTCCCCACAATTTCATCTCTCTCTTTTTAAATTCCCCTAGAAATGAAGAGTTAGGTGTGTTGAAGCTTATTGCTGCTTTGATTGGGCAGTGCCACACAACCTGACTCACAGTACTCAGAACTTGAGTTTAAATACTTAAAGATTAATTGAATAAATGAATGATAATTGTTAGTATCTTCATAGTATAGTGGAATTTGAGATGAAATTGTTTCTGTAGAAACTACTATGAAGATTATGCAAAAACTGGAAGGGTTCTAGATCTAGCTTATCACTTTTTGTATGATCTTAGGCAAGTCATTTAATTTCTTTCAATTCTTTATCCTCCTCTGTGACATGTAGAGGTTGAATTAGTTTTCTATTGTTCCTCAAGCTCTAAGTTAACAATTTTGTGGCCTGTCCTTTATGTGTACCAAAACTTAACAGAAGATGGGAAAGCCAAAGATACGGAAGTTATTTCCTTTGGATTCCAGTGTTTGCACCAGTGTTTTCAGTTATATGTTTTGTGTTACAGAGCCACTGAATCAGTTGTTTTCTTTTAATGTTAGGTGACCAACCATCCAGAACCAGTCTCTCAGTCATTAACTCCTCAGCAGCAGCCACAGTACAACCTACCAGAACGAGACAAACAACTACTTTTCTCAGAATATAATTTTGAAGATCTCAGTGCCTCATTTCGGAGCCTTTATAAGTCAGTCTTTGAGCAGTCACTTAGTCAACAAGGTGAGCTTTTTATTGAAAAGTTTTTTGTCTTTTAATAATTATTTTCATAAAGCGGCTGTTACATTTCCTTCATGTTAGAACATTATCATAATCAGGATTGAATAATTATGTTATGCCTTTTGTGCCTTTATTGTGCTCTGTATATATTTATATCATAGCACAAGAGTGGCAGATACATTTCATCTTGCATGCCTATTTCACTTAATGATTTTTAGTGGCGACCTGGAGTGTTATGTTGAAGGATTCTGACACTGCATCTGTAACACATGGCAAAGGTGGTTCATGTTATTGCATCTCATCCAAATGCTAGGTTGTTGCTATAATGTGTTGTCGATTGGGTCAAAATGTCACATTGTCTTTCCCTCACAGACCACTAGTCAGAAATTGCTGGAAACTCTGCTATTGAAGTATTTCCTAGTTACTTTGAGAGGTTAGCTATTTATACCCCTACTCAGAGTGTTTACCTGTAGTTTTCTGTTGTAATGAATGCTACAGGTTTCTAATCCCTGCCCTTATAGAGTTTGCGTGTTAATACTTACCATGTTATATAATTTAATATTGTATATAAATGTTATATTATAAAAGTTAATATTGTATGTTTTTTATATATATAACATAAATATGTCAAATATGTATTTTATACAGCTATATAGATGAGTAGTAGCTAGCTGGTACAGTAGGTGGCTTTTTATGGTTAGTGTTTGAGTTTAAAGTAAGATTCATCTATTTTTCTCAAAATTTGTCTGGAATTGTGTATCAAAAGAAAAAACAAACTAATATAAGACTTTTCTAAGTAAATCCAACGTTGGTGATCTTAACAGAGAAATGCTAGCTTTGAAAAAACAATGACAACAATTTTTAAAGACCGTAGTACTGTTTTATCTCACACTATAATAAAAAGAGCATTGATAGGAATTCTGGGTTCTAGTCCAGGTTCTACCATAAAATCAGCTGAGCTAACTTCCTCTTGAGTCCTCAGCTTTCCTGTTTGTAAAATGAAAAGAGATGGACTAGATCAGTGGTTTTCATATTGTTCTCTGCAGAGCCCTTGGCTTTTGTTAGGGGAGGAGTATGTGGATGAAGAAAGGTAGCAGGCTTCTTTCCCTAACTTCAGGAAAAGTAACTTTATGTTTATCAGTTTTACATATTGGGTTTCTGAGAGAGGTTTTGTTTTGTTTTGTTGTATTTTATTTAAAAATAATATGAGATTGAATATGTTGGTATAGATCATATCGAAGTTTCCTCTTAAAATGCTAGGGTTTTATTGAAAATAGATAATGAAATCACTGTTATCTTTCATCTTACTGTAATAACCCTAAAGTTTCCCTATAAATGATAGTTTTCCAGGGCCAAGGCAAGAACTTACATCAACTCTTTTACCTATAAAACATTAATTTGTTATGTTTTAAGATTATCTTACAGTGCACTCAAATACAATTTTCCTATTAATGACGAGTATCAGAATAATTTTATCTTTGTTAAAAACTTTGATCCTTGTACTGACAGGAACTGCCATGTGGGATTTTTTTTTTCCTATTTAATGACATTCTTTGTGTCTGGTTCAGCAAAACAGTGTATGGACCATCTGTTGAGATGTGAAAGTAGCCTAGTTGTATAGAAGCAAATGTTGCGATAAGGTTTATTAAAATGAGCGTCTACCTGCAAACCAGACGTACGCTGTTTTTAACATTAGGCACTTCTGGCCTAATCATCATCATAGCATGTAACATTTACTGAGCTCATCCTGCATCCTGCACTTGCACCATGGCATTTAGTCCTCACAACAGCTCTGAAGTAGGTACTGTTACTATACCGATTTATAGTTGAGCTAATTGTGGCTCAGAGAGATTAAGTAACTTTTTGAAGTTACATATTGTGTAAATGGCAGTGCAGAGACTTTAAACCCCTGCTTTCTGGTACTATAAAATATGCATTCTTAACTCTTAAACTGTACATGTCTCAAGAATGTTCCATAAGAGTAATGAAAAGGAACACTGGAGGTGGTGATTTTGTTTTGCTTAGTTTTAGGATCCTAGCCGCTTTGGACTTAACGGTTTTGGAGTAGACAGAGAAAGAGATCAGAAATAACTGGGCTTGATTTAGTCCTCCTCTTCTGTTAAAGCCTTGGTCTTCAGGCCTACAGAAAACCATTCTGAGTTTGACCCAACACCTTTCCCACTTTTTTCCTAATACTTAACTTACCTTTCAATACTTAACTCAGATACTATCTTTTCAAGGAAGGCTTCTGTCTACAACTCTAGTCCCTTCCTACTGAATAAGCAAGAAGCAGGGTTGTTCCTGTAACCTCCTCTATACCTTTGCCTTAGCATTTATATTGTTGGCTATAATCTCATTGTGTGTCTCTTCCACTAGACCATGAGATCCTTGAGGCTAGGGAATGATGTTTCTTATTCTCAGTAACCTCAGAGCCCATTGTGTGGTGGATATTCCATAAACACTTGTTAAACTGAACCAAAGTTGCTTCCTGACACCGTATACCTTTGCTTTGTAAATAATTTTGCAAATGTTTGTCATAAAATGCAACTGAAATCTGACAACAAATAATCTCGCTCGCTTTGTTTTTAGGTTTGATGAACATCCCTTCTGAATCTTCCCAGCAGTCCCACACTTCGTGTTCCTATCAGCATTCTCCTAGCAGTACAGTGAGCTCTCACCCACACAACAACCAAAGTAGCCTGTCCAACAGTCATGGCAGTGGCCTCAACACCACAGGCAGTAATTCAGTTGCACAAGTCTCGCTGTCCCACCCGCAGATGCACACACAGCCGTCTCCACATCCGCCCCATCGACCGCATGGTTTACCACAGCATTCGCAGCGTCCACAGCACCCAGCACCGCACCCACAGCAACATAGCCAGCTCCAGTCCCCTCACCCCCAGCACCCATCTCCGCACCAACACATGCAGCACCATCCGAACCATCAGCACCAGACGTTAACACATCAAGCACCCCCACCCCCACAACAGGTATCCTGTAATTCTGGTAAGTTTTTTGTCTCCGAGCTTGTGTTTGGCTAACAGTGAATTGGGATCTGTTTTGTTTTTTAATTTGAGGTTCATGTGGTCTTTATTACCAAAACCCTTCTCATCTGTCTCCTTTTGTGTTTCCTGGCTAAAATCCTATAGTTATAACTCATTCAATCCATAGATCATCCTGGAGATTTTCTTGTTTAAACTTTATTGTGACAGCATGGGCACAATAAGCAATCCTTGCAGGTCTTGGCCTCAACTCCTGTTTTGTTCTATCAGAAGTGTTTTTGTGAGCATGTAAAGGCAAATGGAATGCACAGTCTGTGTGCAGTCTATTGAAATACACTGTGGTATAGAAGAAAGAACATAGACTTATGTTAGAAAGACCTGCATTTGAATCCTCAACTGGCATTTACGACCTTGGGCAAATTACTTCTTTTAGCCTTGTTTCTCATCAGTAAAAATGGAGCTAACACATTCTGGCATACAGTGTTGTTATGAGGATTGTATTGAAATGATAAATATGAAATGCCTAGACTGGTACCTTGCATTTAAGTATTCAGTAAATGTTCCCACTCTTCCCTCCTTTGGTTATTCCTGACAAGTATCTCATCTTAGAATGATAAATTAGAAAGGAAGGAAACATTCTTCTTACGTTGCTAAAAAGAAACCTATTGCTGTTAAGATAGGTATTGGTGGTTTCTAGTGAGGTGCCTAACTGACACTGCTCACAGACCAGGCAGTCTTTACACTGCAGAAATCCAAGAGTGCCCTGGATGTCGACGACAAGGTGAATGGGGCCCCTTAGAGTTGTGCAGCCTTGCCTCAGCTTGCCTGGCTGTCTACTTCCAGCCATACCACTGATGAGGTTTTTATCCTGGAGGGACAGTTTCTAAATGCTAGACACTGCTAGTTTTTATTCACCAATTAAAACTTGATCAGTGTTTCAGGCAATTAGACTACTGTCAGGGAAAGGAGGTTTAGATAGTGCATACTGTCACTTTTATTGTGACTTAGCTATAAAACTTTTCTGAAGCTGTCTTTATTTATAAAGTGGAAAAGTAGTAAAAGGTTTTTGGGAAAATTAAATGAGATAAGGTACAAAAATGCATAACGGAGTACCTAGAACTTAGTAAGTCCTTGATAAGGGTTAATGTCACACCACCATAATTAATCCGTGAAGATATTTGGAGTCTTAAAATTCTGAAATTACAGCTGTCTTCTTAGTATTTTTTTGACATTTGTGTTGTTTTATTACCAAAACAACATACAAAATCCATGCATATTTTAAAAATGTAACAAACTATATTTTAAATTTTTAACAGTTGATTTTGTTTTTCTGACTATTTCTAAGTAGACGTTAGAATTAAATTGAAGGTTGGTTATAGTTCCTGCCTAGAAGGGATGTCTCCTAAAATATCTTGAAGTGATTTTTTAGTTACATGCCTAGAGAGAAAGGTATATAACATAGCCCCCCTTTGTAATTCTCTTTCATTGTTATCCAGTCACTATGTTCTACCTTGTTATGTTAATATGTTCTTCAGAAATTGAAACCTGTTAGTATGATTTTGGGGAAAGACTCATGATAGTAGAGATTGGATATCTGGTGCTCCTTTCTAAGTCTGCTTCTGAAAGGTCACAGCCTTGAAAACCCTATGGAGCAGTTGTACTCTGTGCACATGGTATTGCTATGAGTCGGAATCGACTGGACAGCAGCTAAGAGCAACGATTGTGAGGGCAGGGAAAGTACTCTTAAGGATGAAAACAGTCTATGACCATAGAAGCCTGTTATACCAATGGTAACTTGACAGGAAAGGAAAATAGACTTCCACCTTGGGGAGTTAGAAATAATCATTGCATCTATGGTAGTAATTAATCTCTTTGAATTATAAATTTCTCATTTATAAAATGGGACTAGGCAGGTTGTCTTTAACAGGGAAGGAATGGAAGGAGGGAACTAACAGTTGTTTGAGTACCCATATGTAATAGGCAATTTGGATACATTATCTGATATTATCTTCTCAGATCAAGTATAAACTACCAAATTTTATAGATAAGAAAAGTTTAATTCAAAGAAATGAAGCAATTTGCTCAAGATCACATTGCTAAAGTGGTGGAACTGAGATTTATACCTTGGTCTGTCTGACTTCAAAGCCTGTAACTCTAGTTGTTCTAAAAGGAGTAAAATCTGCAAGTATTTACTGAGTGGGTAGGTGTTTTCTCACCCACTCTCTGCAGAGATTGCTTTGTTTTCATGTTGCCAAGTCAGCATTTACTGAAGGACTTTCTTTAACAATAACAGCAACAACAAAAATCAGTCATGGCAAGAATGTCCTAGTTCCTTGATAGGATTTTTTTTTTCAGTGGACCTAGTGCTACCCTCACCTTTGACTGTGTTGTATTTACCCCAGGAGTTCTGGGCTCTAGTACTGGCTTGGCTACTTTATTAACTAAGTGACTATGATCAGATAATTCCTTTGAACCTTGATTCATTATCAGAAAAGTTCTTCCTGAACTAGGGAATCTGAAAGTCTGTTAGACTTAAATGTTTATGGCTCATTTGGAGCATTAATTTAGTATTTTTCCCCCCCCTTAAGTTTCTCCCTAAATTATGAGTTGCCTGAGGTCAGGGCTCAGTGTTGTCTCTGGTTTATTATTGATTTAAAAACAAAAATCCATAATTGGCAGGATTTTGTAAGCCAAGTAGCCAGAAGTTGACTGATATAGCTAAGAGTTGTCTGATGTAGCAAAAATCTTTTTTGTTCGTTTTTACCTTCATCCACCCAGAGGTGATCCTGGAAACAGAGTAACTTGGGCAGCAATCACAGAATGGAGGATTTTCTTCCTCTATTTAGCACTATCTCATTGAGGGTAACTCTTGCTCCATGGCCCTTGACTGATGACCACTTTGCTGGCATACAAGGCTATGGAGTCTTAATTATCCTAATGATACCACATCAGAGGATATCATTCCTGACTAGAAATGCCCTGACCTGGATTCATCATAATGTCTTACAGGAGTCTCAGCCTTCTCTCCCTCACTACCTTGGCAGGAGGATTATTTTAAGGCATTTCTCTCACCTAAGACTGCCTTGTAAGAAGCATCTACTCTTAGTAAACTCTCTAATTTATCTCCCTTTTATTTTCTTTAACCCCTGATTTACTCTTTTCTGGTTATTCCCCATAGTGTTTTGGGGGAAATATATATATACTTATTTATATATAATAAGCTGGTTCTTTAAGTTATGCTATGTGTTGCTTCTCAACATGAACCTACCTCTATAAAGTTAGGAAAAACATGTCTCTTAAGGTCATAAAAGACAAAGAACTGAGTTATATATGTTGAAAAACTGATTTGCATGACTTATCCTGCCTGGTTATTTATGTGTACTATACAACTGCTAACCAAAAAGTTGGCAGTTTGAATCCACCAGCTGCTCCTTGGAAACTCTGTGGGGCAGTTCTCCTCTGTCCTGTAGGGTTGCTGTGAGTCAGAATTCACTTGATGGGAACAGGTTTGGTTTGGTTTTAGTTTTATACAAATGTACAAGGAGCCCTGGTGGCACAGTGGTTAAAGCGATCGACTGCTAACCAGAAAGGTCGATGGTTTGAAACCACCAGTGGCTGCATGGGAGAAAGACGTGACAGTCTGCTTCCAGAGGGATTTATAGCCTTGGAAACCCTGTGGGGTCACTTTGAGTCAGAATTGACTTGATGCCAGTGGATTTGATTTTGGTTTATACAAATGTACAGAACAGTATCAAATTTGACATCATAAGATGATATGGCAATTTGCAAGCTGCCAGACTAGAGCTTAGAAAACTTGGACTGAAGTTTTAGATTCATCATGGTGACCTTGTTGAGTTGTGCCATGTCTTCGGGTTCAGTGTCCTTTATTTGTAAAATGGAGAGAAATATACCCTTCCTGCCTGACTCACAGAGCATTGTCCCAACACATGAAATAATGGATGTGAGTTCTTTGTAAAACTGGACAGGGATCTGTCAATGTCAGGAATAAGGCCAGCTCATTGTCTTCCCTTACCATAGACTTCAAACTTTCACCATCCAAGATTTATAGTCTTGTCAATATTACTTTTATAGGTGTTTCGAATGATTGGTATGCAACACTTGATATGCTAAAAGAAAGCTGTCGAATTGCCAGCAGTGTTAATTGGTCAGACGTAGACCTTTCACAGTTTCAAGGTGAGTATGGTTCCTTTTGACATATAACCAAATGTACATGATCCTCTTTTCTCTGGTGGATGATAGGTTTCTTTGTAGTAGAAATACTGCTTTTTTGAAGTAGAAATAAACAACCCTTATATAGCATTTCTTTTGTAGTTGGTAGTATGCTTGAAAATAAACAACATCTTGCAAAATCCACAATAAAATCTCCTGACCAATTGATGTAGCATAGGGTCACAGACAAGAGCTCTGAAAGAAACTTGGCCACATTTTAAAAATCAGGCTTTGAATAATTGTAAGATGTTATTCTTCCTCACGTGAGCAAATCACTACCATAATCTTGAATGAGTCAGTAGACATTTTGTGGGCTCAGAAAAATTGTATCTGGCTGTTTGTCTTGCAGTGCTTGCAGAACTATGCTAATTGAATTTCTAACGCTTTCCTCACAGGTTTGATGGAGAGTATGAGACAAGCAGATCTCAAGAACTGGTCTTTAGATCAGGTCCAATTTGCCGATCTTTGTTCTTCTCTTAATCAGTTCTTTACACAAACTGGCCTTATCCACTCACAGAGTAATGTTCAGCAAAATGTTTGTCATGGTGCCATGCATCCGGCGAAACCTTCCCAACACATTGGAACAGGTATGGGCTTAATTATCTTCTGTTTTTCTCTTTTTCTCATCCATATGAAATTTAGTAACTATCTTAGGCAGCTTGGTACATTATTTATGGTGACGGTGATCCATTTACATCTTTTTACTTGTAAAAAGTGAATGGAAACAACTAATATATGTATATATCTAAGGTGTGTCTTAGAAAAATGGAGGTAAAGAGAGACTGTGTTTCTCTTTAGTGATTTATGATTGTTTTATTGTTTACAATTTACTTTTCCTTTGTGATCTTTAACTTATTAAGTTAACAAACATGAATTAAATGTCTTAAAGACATGACTTAAGTTCTTATAGGAACATAGTTATGAAGTTATTATCAATTAAGTTTGTACAGACTTGCAATGAAAATCAGAATGTCATATTTTATATATCTTCTGAGAATGTTAAAGGTCAAAGTTTGAGGAATAGATATACTGGTAAATATACTGGTCTCATTGATGTTTGGCTCTGGATCCAAAATGTTTGTGTTTTTTATCTCACTTTCTTCCTTTACTTTTTACCCTTGTAGCCGTCTTTTTTACTCTGACGGCAGTGCCTGCATTTTTCTCAAACTTCTGTTCTGTAGGAATTTAATACCCAAGTTCTTTCGAAAACCCTATGGGACAGTTCTACTCTGTCCTGTAGGGTCGCTATGAGTTGGAATTGACTCGACAGCAACGAGTTTGGTTTTTTTCTTTTTTTCTGTCTCTCTTCATGTTTGTCTTTTGCCTTCTTGTATCTCCAGGTTTACTTCTTTTCTGTATTTTATTTTTGTTTTACATTGATGCTGACATGCCCTCTCTTCTCTATCCTGAGTAACTTCCTTTAACCACTATCCTATCTTACTTCACATCTTTTGTCCTCCTGTGTTCTCAAAATCACGTCAGGCTGCAATCTCTCTTTTCATGAAAGCTTTATTTCTGTGCCCTCTGATAGAATAGAAATCTTTCATCTTTGCCTCTTCTGTTCTGAGTAGCTTTCCCCTGTTAATTATCCACCCTGAAACCCTCAGTAGCTATTTGATTCTGGTAACTTATTCAATCAGTAGATTATATAAAGGCATCATTCAGTGCCTGGCAGATTTATTGAGTGCCTCCTGTGTCCCAGACACTAAACAGTATTTTTTGATTACTCTCAGTTGTTTTCTCTCTTTCCTTGTGTTGTGTTGTCATCATCATCGTCGTCTTCTTTTTTCTGGTAAAATATATATAACATGGAATTTATGGTTTTAACAGTTTTTAAGTGTACAATTCAGTGGCATTAATTACATTCACAGTGTTGTGCAGCCTTTACCACTGTATGCTTCCAAAACTTTTTCATCACACCAAACAGAAACTCTGTGCCCATCAAGCAGTAACTCCCCTTTCCCTCCTCTCTCCAGGCCCTGGTAACCTCTAATCTACTTTCTGTCTCTGTGAATTTGCCTCTTCTAGATATTTCATATACGTGAGATCCTACAGTATTTGCCCCTTTGTGTGTGGCTTATTTCACTTAGCATAACATGTTCAAGGTTCATCATGCAGCAAACCTTTATTCCTTTTTATGGCTAAATAATATTCCATTGACTGTATGTACCACATTTTGGTTATCTGTTCATCTGCTGATGGACATTTGGGTGGTTTCTGCCGTTTGGCTACTGTTTATATGCTGCAGTGAACACTGGCGTATAAGTATTTATTTGACTTCCGTTTTTCAATTCTTTGGGGAGTATACCTAGAAGTGGAATTGCTGGTCATATGGTAATTCTATGTTTAACTTTTTGAGAAACTGCCACACTATTTTCCACATAGGCTGAACCATTTTACATTCCTACCAGCAAGGGATGAGGTTTCCCATTTTTCCTCATCCTCGTAAACACTTACTATTTTCTGTTGTTTTTTTTCTTTTTTAAGTAATAGTCATCCCAGTGGGTGTGAAGTTGTATGTTAAGCATCTTTTCATGTGCTTATTGGCCACGTATATCTTCTTTAGAGAATGTTTATTCAAATCTCTTGTCCATTTTTTAATTGGGTCGTTTGTCCTTTTGTTGTTGAGTTGTAGGAGTTCTTTATATAGTCTGGATATTAAATGCTTCTCAGCTACACGATTTGCAAATATTTTCTTTCATTCTGCAGACTGTCTTTTCCCTTTCTTGATAATGTCCTTTGATACAGAAAACTCTTTTTAATTTTGATGAAGTCCAATTTATCTGTCTTGTCTTTTGTTACTCTTGCTTTTGGTGTCGTATTGTCACTTCTTTTAATATTTGTTGGTATATTAATTTCAAAGTATCAGTCTGTAACTTGGCATATATGCTGACTTATTTGCTTTCTTCCATTTCATCTTTTTTTAATCTCTTCTTCCAGATGAACAGACTGTTCATATCTTCTTTGATCCCTAGGTTCTAAGCCCATAGCTTGTCTCTTTCAAAATACATCACTTTCATTTTTTCCAACTTGCTTTAAGTCCTAGACCGGGTTGTACCAGCTCTTTCTGTCCTTTGTCCCTTGTTTCTCCTTTCCTCTTTTCTTTCCCTGTTCAACTAAGATGATACTTTCTAAATGCTGCCATGTTTTCTTCTTTGCCAAATCAATTTCAATCAGCCTTGAAGAGTGCTAAGTATATTTGAGTAGCTTATGTGTACATCAGAGTCTGTGGGTGGCACAAACAGTTAAGCACTCAGCTGCTAACCAGAAGGTTGGTGGTTTGAGTCCACTCAGAGATGCCTTACAAGAAAGGCTGGTGATCTATTTCTGAAAAATCAAAAAAGCAACCATTGAAAACCCTACGGAGCACAGTTCTACTCTGACATACATGGGGTTGCTATGAGTCAAGTAGACTTGATGGTAACTTGTTTGTTTGTTTTAATGTGTAAATCATTAGTCCTGTGCGTTTGGCGGTCAGTACCTATATTGCTCACAATTTGTTATTTGGGGCATGTCAAGGGAGGTCTAGGAGGACAGGGAGGAGAAGGTAGGGTCAGTCTTGAGAGGAAGGCCATCTTCAAAAGGCTTGTATAACTAGGAGCCCTTCTTTTCTGGAATTTCAAACCTGTGTGGTGAAACAAGACTTTATTCAATTTTGTGACCTAAATCTCCAAACAAGGCTCAAGTGTGCATCTTGGTCATGGAAAAAGCACTATACATTTGCTCCTGTCCTCTGGGAGAGACTAGACCAGCCCCCTTCTGGATTCTCTCCAGACAGATCCTGTGTTATTTTCATAAAACCCTTTGTTACCAGACTTCTGTGGTCAGCTATTCTTGATCCTTGACCTTGATTATTTGGTTCTGGCATTCTACGGGAAACCCTGGTGGCGTAGTGGTTAAGTGCTACGGCTGCTAACCAAAAGGTCAGCAGTTTGAATCTGCCAGGTGCTCCTTGGAAACCCTATGAGGGCAGTTCTACTCTCGTCCCATAGGGTCGCTATGAGTTGGAATTGACGCGACAGCAACAGGTTTGGTTTTTTTTTTTTTTTGCATTCTATGGTTTTATTCGTATTTTTTTCTGCCACCTTTCCTTTTTATTACTAGGGCCCTCCTTTTCTCTAGAGTCCCCATAACTCCTTTTTGCTACCCCATTCACATCTTGGCAAAGACGGAAAAGCTATAGTTTTTCCTCAGTGTTTATTCCTTTCTCCACCTTACCCCCTTTAGTCTCTTCACCCAGACTGCAAGGAATGTCATTCAGCCAGGGCTTGTCTGCCAAGCCATGTTGGCCTCTGCCAACACCTTCTCTGATCAGTCTGGTGCTACAAGTATCTGTCACCTTGTGCCTGCTGATTTTTATTCACGTATATTTAGTTTTTGTGTAGCCAACCTGCATCCTCTTGCTTTAAATCCCTTAAACCTCTTTCGGTTGTTCTTTTTATCTTCTTTTTGCATCCCTATTAAACCCATTCAGATACCTCACTTTCCTTGTCTCTACCCCCCAATGATTCTTTGCCACATTTTCTTAGAAATGTAGTACAAGAAAGTACTTTACAATGCTTTTTAGTTTTACCCCTTTATTTAATAGTTAAGGAAACTGCAAATAATCCAGAGAGAGTGACTTGTCCAAAGTTACACAGTTCATTCAGATATAGATCTTGACACCCAGAATATAGCCTTTCCATGTCCTTTAAGCTTTCCTTGCCATTCCTGTCTCCAAGGCTCCTCCTTTTGGTGAAAACCTCTTTGAGCTCCTTAGAGAACCCAGGAATTGGTGTATTAGTGTGGAAAGGAGAAGGGTAAAAGACTGTCATAGAACATACTGTCTCACTTCTTTTTCCTAAATCATTTTACCTATGTTTACCATTTGTCTTGCCCAACAGCATTTATGTCCTCTAGCTCTGCTGTTATTAATTTGATATTTTGCTTAAAGATCATTAAATATGGATAGATATGTGTTCATTCAGCAAACATTTATTTATTTTCTGTGCCTGGCTATGTATTTGGCGTAGGAATAAAATAGATGATTCCAAAATATCCCCTGATCTCCCAAGTGGTCACAGCCTGATCTGTGAGATAGGTCCTCCAAGAAATATAGTATGATGAGGGCTGTACTTCCACCATAGGGTGTGTAAGTTCAGTGGGAGCAGAGAGAAAGGAATGTAAATGTGTTGGGGAGAGAGAAAGACTTCATAGAAGAAGACACATTTAAGCTGAACTTTGCAGAATAAGTGGAATTTTGTAAAACACAGTAGTCAGATCATGTCTCTTCTCTGCTCAAAACCCTCCAATGGGGGGTACAGGAGTCCAGGGACAAGGGCCAGAAGGCAGAAGGGGACAAGGAGGCTGGTGATAGGGAGCCCAAGGTTGAGTAAGGACAGTGTTGATGTGTTCTGAGGTTGTTAACCATTGTCATAGGGCAACATGTGTACTAACAGTTAAATGAGAAACTATCTTGTTCTGTAAGCCTTCATCT